TTGAGGGGTGTGTGTGTATGATTGTGTGTTTAGATGCTGGGAACCGTGGGGGGAGGCAAGACGACTCGAGACGAGTTGCAATCGAGGTATCTTCGCTCCGGCTTCCTCCTTCTGCCCCGAGACCCCCCTCCCCCGTGGTGCTGAGCTAGGGAGGGGAAACCAGGATTTTAACCAAATTAGCATTCACATTCCTGGGAGGATGTAGCCCTCGCCTGGACCTGGGTGATAGAAGCTTTTTGCTCTGTTTTTATTTTTGGAGAGGAGCGCCCTGTAATTGTCCTAAACACATGCTTCTCTCTCCACCCCCCCCCCTTCTTCCTCCAGCCACCAACGGAGGAGAGAGTCCCCCTTTTTTGCATTTATCTTTTCCTTCCCCTTTCTTTATTAAAGGTCCGGGAGTGGCGGCGCCCAATCAGCGCGCGGCTTCCATTTTGTGAGTTCAACTCCGAGGCTCCCGGGCTTCGCGAGGACGCGTTCGCAGCCCCCTCTGCCTGTCCTCTCGGGCGGCCGAGGCGAAGGAGCCGCCTTTCTGGGGCTTCGTGGTGGTGTATTTCATATTGGGGCTCTTTTCGGGGTTTGTAATTTGGCCGTGGGTAGGTAATTGGCTGGAGCAGGGCGGCAGGGCGCGGCAGCCAATCAGCGCGCGGCTTCTATAGGGCTTGAGTTATTAGACGCTGATCTCAAAACATCGTTCATCAGACACCAAGGAGAGGCCAACAGATGAGGGGAGCCATTTTTCTGCAATGGAATTAAATGGCCAAGTGGGTTTTTCCTTTGTTGCAAATGGGGAATGCTTTTCCTTTGACTCCACCATCCAGTTCAGGACGCCTCAGTGTTGTGTTTAACATTTGTCAACAGGCTAAAGGACTCACAATTGGAAGAATGAAGAAGACTTTTTAAAAAGATCTGGATTTTTCCTTATGACTTGGAATCCATCTTTGTCTTGTATAACTAGGTCATAGCACACCATTAATGTCAGCAGTTAACAATTTTGAATTCCAAAAAACCTAAGTAAATGACATATTTAATTTTTTTCCTCTTTTTTTTCTTGGGTGGGTGGGGGGAGCTTGGAGCTGTCTTAATCTGTATTCTCTTGACTGAACAATAAATTTTTAAATATATATAGTTTCCTCTATTAAACACTTAAACCTGGCCATCTTATTAACTCCTTCTGCTCTCTTTTTAACAAGGTAATGTTTTAAATGTATAGTTTTAGGACTAGCGAAATGGCAGCAACAAAAAATTGTAAGCAGTTGTTACTTTTAAGCTTTTAAAAAACCTTTTACGTTGTAAGTACCCAATCCATTCTGTCCTTACGCAGTGCAGTTTTCATGTTAATGTTGCTGAGATGTCCTTAATTTTCTGAACCTTCATCTGCATGTATGTCTTTGTCGCTCTTGTCTAATATAAGCCAGTTAAAATGCTTTTAGACGATTTTGCTTTTATAAAGCTAAGGTTTTTTAGCTTTAAGCTTTTGAAAATGTTTAAAGCAATAAATGCTAGTCAGCTTTCTTCCCAGTAACATGTACACGTTCTTTGAAAATCGATCTATTTGAAGAAAAACAGCTCTGTTTTTCTCGTCTTGGTAGGGGGGTGGGTGAGGGAAAGGAAGACCTTCTCTTTGTGTACAGAGTCTAAAGCCGTCACAGGAAACTAGATTAAAACTGGAAAACAAGTCCTAGCTGGTTCGAGCCAAACACCAACGTTAACTCGCGGGTATTTTCTATGGTGGTTGGGATGGCCGTGCGTCTTTTGCCTTTTGTTTGATTTGACTGTGTATTTTCGCCTTTTGTCTCTTAATGACGATCACACCATTGCTATATCCAGAGCAGTAAACAGTCCTCAGCGAAGCCGCCTTTTGCCAACCCAACCCTGGAAAGTTTGCAGAAGTGGAAGGAGCAGAAAATGCCATGAGAGTGTAACTTACAAAAAGGTAACAACAAGAAAGACACCACCATTCCCCCAATAATCCTAACTAAACAATCCCCCCCCCTCCGCCGCCAAAAGATGTTTTTTACATAACACGTCCAAAACCTCCGCCCAGCTTGATCTTCCAGACTCCATGGCACCGGGCAGAGCCGGTAAGTTAAAAA